GCGCCATTGGTAGTATTTTCTAAAACGCACTGTTAAGACAGCAGGTAAAAGTTGGTCTGTGTTCTGTCGGAGCTGCCTGCGAGGCGCTGATGAGATCCAAAAAGATTTCGACAGAATACAGACCATTTCGAATTATTTTATCACTAGATTGTCAACCACTAATAACGTCAAACATTTGTCAAAAATAAGTAACTCAAAATTATGTTGTGTTCTTTCTATTACTACTATTAGAAAACATTATGTACTTAAAAGGTTCAAAGAAGTCCAAATCACTGGCTTTACTTCTTCAAAAGAATCAAGCGAATTGTTCAAGAAGTTTTCAACCAGATCCACCAGTCAGACATCGTCGTAGGCCAAAAACGAAGCCCCTTTTAATCGGTTTATCTATGGGATGGTTTACAGGATGCATGATAGCGAAAATTGGAAGAAGTCTCGTTTTGAGCTTGGGAGGAAGTGTTATTTTGTTGGAAATAGCCAATCAGAAAGGTTACATAGAAATTAACTGGGATAAAATCAAAAGTGAAGTTGAAAAACTGACAACCAAATTGGAAATGGAAGTTCAATTTCATGAAAGGAACTTGTTAAATAGTATTTACACTATCAGTAAAAAAAACTATTCATTGATAGTAGGTCTTTTAGGTGGGTTTCTTATAGGTCTTGCATATCACTGAATATTGATTAAGTTTTGATACTGTACCTTTAGTACATAATGTTGTTCTTTTTTTATACTTATCTACTTAATTAAAATAAAATAAAAATAAAAAATGAGCATTGCCAACACGTTTTTGAAAGTACGATAAAAAAGTGCAATAGGTCATGATCAGAAAAGATACATAGGAAGAGGATACAGAATGAAAATAGCTTTTCTTATTTCTAAATAGAAGCTTATTGGAATATTCAGGCATCTATCTGGTATCATTTTCTTTATTTGTAATTTGAAAAAAAAAGGACAAACATGTGCGAATTCGCCCCAATTAGCCAAAAGCGTTGACAGCTGAGATCAGAACCACCAGTTCTGGTTGAACTAGCTGAGAATTTTGCACCGTCGAATTTTAATATTTTAATACAGTTAATGTTCTTTATTCGTGGGGTATACGTTCCAAAAATATGCCGCGAATACAGAAACCGTGGATATGGAATGGTAATTAGTATGGAATCATAGGGGATACGTTCTAAGGCTCCAAAATAAAACCAATCTGTATCAGAATGATATCAATTTATTGAGAAATCCGCAATTAAAAAAAATTTAGTGATTTTTTCATGTTTTGAATTTTGAATTAGTCCACTCGGCACGAGCCAACAGTACTTAAAAGATGCGAATACATTGAAAAATAACACCGAATCTTTTTCTGTTTACTCGGTTACATCTTTTAAAAAACTTCAATTCAGTAGAACATACGCCGTAAAGTAAAAACATGCTTATCGGTTTTGGATATCATGAGTTTAATGTTTGGAACACAGGTTTGAGACTTTGTAGTAAGATAGATAAAGCTTTGTTCTAAAGCTTGTCGAAGGCCATTTTTTAAGTTTTTAATTTCTATTGAAAATACGTGTCCTACAAGAGGCATTAGCTTTAAGCACTTGTAAAAACTTTTAATGACCATATTATTGAAAACCAAAAACGTATCGAGTTAGTGTGAACCTTTGTCTATTACCATACAAAAAAGCAAATATTTATCTCATAGTGTTAAATCACAATGTTCAGAATAGAAACCCATGTTTTCAGAAAAATTCACACTAGGTACGAGCGGTCTACTGCGGTAAATCTCCTTAATAAAAGACACCGAATGTTTTTCTGTTTTCCGATTGCATCCGTGAATAATGAAATTTTTAACCGCTAATACAAGAACTGGGTTGCAATTTTTTCACCCGCGAATAAGGAAACCGTGAATAAGGAACTTGTACTGTATGTAGTACTTCCATATGGACAGTTGCTATATGAAAAATGCTTTGCTATTACGGTGCCGACTATATTTATTCCCTCTCTTCTCGGTGACACCCTGCCCATGTTGCGCATACTTAAGAAATCCATATTTTCCTATATGCGTACAAAAGATGCGCAGAACAGAGCTAGGAGCTCGGAGAATAAAGAACACGAGACACTATGTATTTCACTTTAGAAACTATCCATATAGGAGTATTACATATATGAGCATAACTAGGTACATTTTCGTTCTATATATCACGTTGCGTGTTGTTCGTATACTTCCCTTATTTTTGAAATCTACTCGTAAAACTTAAATTATGAAAAAAAATTTCCAAATTTTTAAACATTTTTAGAGCAATTACCTCGGAGTTCATAATCGATGAATAATTCATAATATAAATATAATAAAATAAGCATGCAAACACATAACTATCCCTAAGTAAAACACATAACAAATAATTAATAAATTATTTATTTTCGATCGAAAAATGCGCCTAAAATACAACAAAAAATGTCTAAAATAAAATGATGTCTCCAATATTTATAATTTCGAAAAGAAGAATTGAACAATAACAGTTAATGTTTGTCTTAATATCTTATCTCTGAAGGCTGAGTAACAAAAAAATATCTCCAGGATCTCTCAATGTACGAATAAAAAAATTCTTACCTTTGACTTTATTCGTTCATTTTCAGTAGCATTTCTTCGAAATCTCGATTTCCTGAATAAAACTCCTGGGTATATCTTACGTGCAATTTCGTCGGAAGTGTCGTCAGTTCCTGAAGTCCATGCATTATCTAAATAAATCGAATCTTCTCCATTATCACTCGAATTTGAACCAACACCGTTAAAACTTTCGAAACCGTCGTCGATATTCAATTGACATTTTACCTGTCGAGTCGACGTTGCTGCCCCAGTACTAAAACCGCACGAATGAAATTGCTGACGTATAATGATTAAAAAATTATAATTTAAATGACTTAGGAAAATTAACTTTTTTATTTTAATTTTATAAATATAAATAAATATTAGGACAATAATAAAAGAGCGAACGTTATTCGCAGATGACGTTGCTATACGAAGCGTACTTAGGACGGTAACTTATTGTTTATGATTGTAATGTTCTTGATAAGAATAATAGGTCATTATTGTTTCATTCAAACACATGTAACCTTGATGAATTTGGTGTTAGGAAATTCCCCTTCAAGTCATATTGTAGTAGGAAGTTAAATCTTGTTTTTAGAACTATTCATGCGAAAATTAATTTTCAATTTTCGATCCACTACTAACTATCTCAGGTTATTGAGTGAAAATTTTTGTTGCTGTTGTAACACCCCCGCCGGGAATCGAACCCGGGACCGTTGGCTTTACGCACCAATGCTCTGACCACTAAGCTACTCGAGATAACAACAGTAACTACGACAAACCGAGCCTACAAGGTTACAAATCCGTCGAATTTTAACTAATGTAATTATATATACTAAATCGAATTATAAGACGTTGTCACGTCAAAAAAAAAAACATTGTTGAACTCAAACAAACCACCCTAACGCATTAAAAGATTAAAATCTGTTTTTCTGACTTACCTAAACCGACAAAAATATTTGCAATATTCCTTACTGGAAGATTTTTTACTTTAATAAGTCAAAAACAGTCTCTTTATGAATTTAAATTGTCATTGTCTTTTTGTCAATCGTAAATACAAAGAAACGTACAAATAACAAATCATACGTTTACCATCATCCGTATTGTCACCCCTAAAACGTTTCTTTCGTTTGCCTTTTTTATTGTGTATTGTCTCTCGTTTTTAATATGTAGAGTGTCACAACGTTTTGGCTCCGGAGTACAACTTAGGCCCATTTGCTACCACCGGATCTGCAAATAACAAGTAAGGAAACAACTCTTATTAAATACATAAGCGTCATTGCTGATCGTGAGAGGAAATCAATCGTGTTGCCAATGGTCGAGATCAATCAATCAGTCAATTAGTGTTTCATACTTAATTTGAACAACTTCAACTTGAAACCCAGCATTTCGGACAAAACGGCAGACAGAGCAGATAAAATAAAGACCTTCACTATTGTATACAAGTACGGATTTGCAGATAAGCCGGATATTGTGTATGGCGTCTCCAATTCCTATGAACAAAATAAATAAATNCAAAAGAGTATTTAAAGGATAAGACGATTGCCGAAAGGGGAAGAAATAAATTGACCGTTGCAGAAGTGAATACAGAAATAAATTGACAGTGAAACAAATAGCGCAGTGAATAGTAATATATCAACAGTAGTGTAAATAAATGGAATAATTCATAACCTAAGTTTAGTAATAATTTAATAGTGTTTTTCAGTTCTTTAATAATTAGTGTAAATAAATAGTTTTTGTCATCAGTCTTAGAAGCTAATTTTGTTAAACCCACGAACATTACACAATGTATTAATTATTGTTGCCAGTAAAAAATAGCTTAGTTAGATAAACTTTACAAGAAGCATCAATAGTTCGGTGGCAGAATATTGCTCTTCCATGCAGGTGGTTTGGGTTGGATTATTAGCCGATGCAATAGTTTATATTTATGTTAAGTAAAATAAATATCAATCCCACACAAAGTTTTATTAAAATAATTTCTCTTATGTTATTCTAATGGAATGTCTACTTTCTTCTAAATTTTTTAAGTAGAAGTTCATCTTTAACGGAAAAGTTCAATTATTTTACCTTTTTTTGTAAACATTGATGTCTTCGACTCTAGGAACTGTTGCAGGTATTTCATCATCTGATTGAAATTTCACATTTTTTGTAACTTTGTTTTGAATAACGGCAGGTTCCTTCCTAGACGGATCACTATTTGTAGCAATGATTTGAGAATGAATAAAACACAATATCCACATTATCACTAGAGGTATCACAACCACTGTACATGACAAATTCTGCAAGAAAATGTATTTTTTAAATAGTCCATGGATGCTCTTGCTGCATACGTACTTCATAAAAGTTTCCTTCTACGTCTTTTAAAATATAAACTAGAATAGTTGTCAGCTGCAACAAATACAATGCCGTCAATAAGATGCATCCCTTTTTGGAAGTCTGATTTGCCCACCATTTGATATAAAGTGGGTAAAATACTAATCGTAATGTAGCTAGCCATGCTACCATTAGAAAACCATGTTTAGGCTTAGCTTTCGAAAAAGAAGATCCTTCAAAAATAGAAAACATCTACATTACAAACAAATTATTGTACATAAGACATTATGTTGCCAAAAAAAATAAAAGGAGAAGAAGATGGCTATCTCTGGCGGCGACTGGCAGGAGTTAAACTTAAGAAATCCGATGCGCAGTGACATTTAGTGGCCAAGAACGGTGGTGGATACATTTATGAGCGACAGAGATGACAATGCGGGACACAGAAACTTAAAAGAAAACTTTCAGGTGTTTCATTCCCACCAGCCAGTAATGCTGGTGGGCGGGCAGTCCCTCCGGACTATGCCGGAAGGTAGGGCGGAAGGCCCTCTTCAGGAATCGTGGGAATGGGTGGGTGGTGGTTCGGGTGAGAAAGTTGAGACGGACGAAATGAAGACAGAAGAAAATGAAAGATTATCTGTGGAATATTACTGCCTCAGCATTTGCCNTTAGAGGCAGAAACAGGAGTTAGGAGGGGTAGAGGTAGACCTAGATTAGATTACTGTTCGCAAATAGTTAAGGATGTGGGTTGTTCTAGTTTTAGGGAAATGCGAAGTTTACCTCAGAATAGGAAAGAGTGGAGGTACGTGTCCAACCAGTCTTAGGACTGATGACCTTATGATGATGATGATGATGATACATAATGAATTCGAAAGACTGAAAAGTAAATACCTTTAGTAAATCCGCAGCCAATTTCAGGACGTTATGAACAATTCCGAGTTTCTCCTTCTTTCGAGGCTTCCGTTCGATTTGCAAATATAAATTGATCTGCTCAGTAATCAACACGGACAGATTCCTGTATTTTAAGTAAGTTTTGTTGGCAAGTGTCATAAACCTCAACAACATTATGCCGAGACCAAAGCTCCAAATCAGTGCCTCCAAATTGTACTGAAGCCTTAATGCCTCGGAACCCTAAGCAACAAAAGATGAGACACAATTCCCTCAAGCAGGCCGCGAAGCAATTACCTTAAGAAGTTCCATGCTCAAAAACGACAACAACAGAAGCGTAATAACGAACGAAGAGCTGACGATGACGTCCACAGATCTCTGAGGACCTCTCTTCTTCAAATATGAACGTACTGAAAGCCACGTCTTGATGTTTTTCACTTTATTCAACCGAAAATGAGGAAGTTCCCACTTTTTCGCTTTCTGCGAGGATGTCAACTTGGTAAAAAATTTCGCGTAAAAGAATCTTTGCTTATAGGTGCGTTCTGCGACGACCAGCAGAAAGAAGAAAATCCAGGCAAGAATGAAACGTTGCAGGGAGGCTATTAGCATTATTGCACGTTCCCTGGAACCAAAAGGATTAAGTAATACAGCCGGAAAAGGTAATTCAATATAGATTTACCAAAAATTGTTTCCCAACGCCTTGTTAATGACCGAGATGAGAATGGCAGACACATTATCCAGTCTAGATTGAACCAAGTCATCAACGCTGATCAGAAATTCGTTGGTAGAATTGTAACAACCCCCCTCAACGGTGCTAAGTCTGTATGCAACCGGAGTGAATGCCAGCATCAGTGAAAATATCAGACCCAAATAAAAATAGTCTATACATTCAGGCATCTGTTCCACAATACGAATTATTGCAGAACTTATGTCTAATACAGTCAAATATGCCTTTTTGACTTCGCCTTTATCCCATATGGTGCAGCTCACTGCAAGTAATAACGAGGTACCTTCAGCAAACAAGTTAAATAAAATATACTGCTATGCACAGCACACCTTTGTCAAATGTACTGCAATCAGGATTGAAACCGAAATCAAAGTCTTCATCAATATCGCCTTCCGACTGGTCCAATTCAGTTGCATAATAATTTTCTTCACTATTACTAGCACACTTTGCCTTATAAGAACTCATAAATCTTCTTGAAGAGGTTTGACTTTCCGTATTTACCTCGTCTTCTTTCTCATCATCGTCTTCCTCGGATGGATACTTTTCAGCGTCATCAACTTTCTATGTACAAAAAGCACATATATTGCAAAATATCACTAGATTTAAAAAATACTACAAATGGCGCAGTAAACGCCATCTGTAGCACGATGCTACATTATAGGATTACGTATGCTCCAACCAGGTCCTCTTGTGTGGATATCTAGTCGCTGAAAACAAATCCCGGCGTAGCCAACCTCAACGTGATAGGCATGTTAGCTTAATCGAATAAAATAATTCGAAATGGTCTGTATTCTGTTGAAACTGCCAGACGCGGATCGCGATTTCGATCTTTTTGGATCTCATCAGCGCGTCGCAGGCAGCTAGACAGAACACAGACGAAGTTTTATCTGCTATCTTAACAGTGCGTTTTAGAATACAGACCATTTCGAATTATTTTATTCGATTAAGCTAACGTGCCTATCACGTTGAGGTTGGCTACGCCGGGATTCGTTTTCAGCAAGTAGATATCCACACAAGTGGACCTTGTTGGAGCATACGTAATCCTAAAATGTGGCATCGTGCTACAGATGGCGTTTACTGTGCCATTTGTAGTATTTTCTAAAACGCACTGTTAAGACAGCAGGTAAAAGTTGGTCTGTGTTCTGTCGGAGCTGCCTGCGAGGCGCTGATGAGATCCAAAAAGATTTCGACAGAATACAGACCATTTCGAATTATTTTATCACTAGATTGTCAACCACTAATAACGTCAAACATTTGTCAAAAATAAGTAACTCAAAATTATGTTGTGTTCTTTCTATTACTACTATTAGAAAACATTATGTACTTAAAAGGTTCAAAGAAGTCCAAATCACTGGCTTTACTTCTTCAAAAGAATCAAGCGAATTGTTCAAGAAGTTTTCAACCAGATCCACCAGTCAGACATCGTCGTAGGCCAAAAACGAAGCCCCTTTTAATCGGTTTATCTATGGGATGGTTTACAGGATGCATGATAGCGAAAATTGGAAGAAGTCTCGTTTTGAGCTTGGGAGGAAGTGTTATTTTGTTGGAAATAGCCAATCAGAAAGGTTACATAGAAATTAACTGGGATAAAATCAAAAGTGAAGTTGAAAAACTGACAACCAAATTGGAAATGGAAGTTCAATTTCATGAAAGGAACTTGTTAAATAGTATTTACACTATCAGTAAAAAAAACTATTCATTGATAGTAGGTCTTTTAGGTGGGTTTCTTATAGGTCTTGCATATCACTGAATATTGATTAAGTTTTGATACTGTACCTTTAGTACATAATGTTGTTCTTTTTTTATACTTATCTACTTAATTAAAATAAAATAAAAATAAAAAATGAGCATTGCCAACACGTTTTTGAAAGTACGATAAAAAAGTGCAATAGGTCATGATCAGAAAAGATACATAGGAAGAGGATACAGAATGAAAATAGCTTTTCTTATTTCTAAATAGAAGCTTATTGGAATATTCAGGCATCTATCTGGTATCATTTTCTTTATTTGTAATTTGAAAAAAAAAGGACAAACATGTGCGAATTCGCCCCAATTAGCCAAAAGCGTTGACAGCTGAGATCAGAACCACCAGTTCTGGTTGAACTAGCTGAGAATTTTGCACCGTCGAATTTTAATATTTTAATACAGTTAATGTTCTTTATTCGTGGGGTATACGTTCCAAAAATATGCCGCGAATACAGAAACCGTGGATATGGAATGGTAATTAGTATGGAATCATAGGGGATACGTTCTAAGGCTCCAAAATAAAACCAATCTGTATCAGAATGATATCAATTTATTGAGAAATCCGCAATTAAAAAAAATTTAGTGATTTTTTCATGTTTTGAATTTTGAATTAGTCCACTCGGCACGAGCCAACAGTACTTAAAAGATGCGAATACATTGAAAAATAACACCGAATCTTTTTCTGTTTACTCGGTTACATCTTTTAAAAAACTTCAATTCAGTAGAACATACGCCGTAAAGTAAAAACATGCTTATCGGTTTTGGATATCATGAGTTTAATGTTTGGAACACAGGTTTGAGACTTTGTAGTAAGATAGATAAAGCTTTGTTCTAAAGCTTGTCGAAGGCCATTTTTTAAGTTTTTAATTTCTATTGAAAATACGTGTCCTACAAGAGGCATTAGCTTTAAGCACTTGTAAAAACTTTTAATGACCATATTATTGAAAACCAAAAACGTATCGAGTTAGTGTGAACCTTTGTCTATTACCATACAAAAAAGCAAATATTTATCTCATAGTGTTAAATCACAATGTTCAGAATAGAAACCCATGTTTTCAGAAAAATTCACACTAGGTACGAGCGGTCTACTGCGGTAAATCTCCTTAATAAAAGACACCGAATGTTTTTCTGTTTTCCGATTGCATCCGTGAATAATGAAATTTTTAACCGCTAATACAAGAACTGGGTTGCAATTTTTTCACCCGCGAATAAGGAAACCGTGAATAAGGAACTTGTACTGTATGTAGTACTTCCATATGGACAGTTGCTATATGAAAAATGCTTTGCTATTACGGTGCCGACTATATTTATTCCCTCTCTTCTCGGTGACACCCTGCCCATGTTGCGCATACTTAAGAAATCCATATTTTCCTATATGCGTACAAAAGATGCGCAGAACAGAGCTAGGAGCTCGGAGAATAAAGAACACGAGACACTATGTATTTCACTTTAGAAACTATCCATATAGGAGTATTACATATATGAGCATAACTAGGTACATTTTCGTTCTATATATCACGTTGCGTGTTGTTCGTATACTTCCCTTATTTTTGAAATCTACTCGTAAAACTTAAATTATGAAAAAAAATTTCCAAATTTTTAAACATTTTTAGAGCAATTACCTCGGAGTTCATAATCGATGAATAATTCATAATATAAATGTCAAAT